AATCTTGACTTTAAAAACCTGAGACCACCACGAGAAATATCAACAAATTACTAATACTTTTACAATCTGATGATAGGGATAATGCCAGCCTTTTGTTTCCTCCACCACACTTACAGGTCCTGCAAAGCTTTTATTTTTTATCCTTAAAGCAAAGATGGCAACCCTCATGCCTCAGTTCTGAGGACTGAACTTAGGGCTGAACCCATGCTAGGCAAACACTATATATATGAGAATATATATATAAATCTCCTCAGCCCCAGAACGGCATTCTTTTTCTTTTGTAAAGATAGGGTCTCATTATATAGCCCAGGATAGCTTGAAATTCCCTATGTAGACCAGGCTGGCCTCAAACTCAGAGATCCACCACTATGCTTGGCAAGATGGCATTCTTAAAGGCCTTTAAGAACAAGATTTGGGTAGCTATCTTTGAAAAACTTATGCCCAGAGACAGCTACTGCATATACACCTGCAAGACAAGGACCACATGTCTCCCTCTTCTGACACCATTCAAAACAACACCCTGCAGATAGCAGGTGTTCAGAAAAATACTATGTAAGTGACAGGGGCTATCTACCAGCAAGGGAGTGTGTGAGCTAAGCTCTGTGGCAATAGAATGCACACTCGTCAGAAGTGTGGGTTTCAGCACCCTGGACAGCTCTTGACGCACAGTAGGGGCTTTGCCACCAATGCCTTGATTGGGCTTTCTTTTAGATATTCCCTGGATAGCCACTTCTATGAGCTCAATTTTGAGAATAAGATCTTTTTCCAAGGCTTGGGTTTGTTTGTTTGCTTGTTTTTTGTTTGTTTTTTTTTTAAATCAACTTATGACCTGGATGCCACAGACAGGGCATCCAGAGGGTGAATCAAGCAGTCTGCTTTTAGTCTTACTCTGTTACCACCAATATACAAATCCAGAGCTAAATAAATGCTCAACAGCAGGGTATACACCAGGATGGCTTACAGAGACATCTGAGTGCACTCTGCTAAGACTTGCTCTACTTGCCACACAGTCAGTATGAAAAGCAATGGAAATTAGATTTTAGCCCCATCTTCTCTAAGGGAGGGGCAGGAAGGGGAGGAGACTATGAAGTGGGGGATGAAGGTG